AGGGAGAAGGATGGAGCTACGGGACTGCTAGCCGTGGGCGGCGGGGCGTCTCCGTGGTGTTGCACGCGATACTGCAGGCGCAGCAATGTCTCGGCGTCGCTCTTGAAGACGGCATTCTGTATGACTGAGGATCAGGGAGTTAGCAGGCGTTTCGCAGGCCATGAGCACTCACAGCGGAATGACATACGCGCTATAACCCGAGCTTGGAGCGCAGCCTTGTTGCCGGTCTGCGATGTGCCTTCTTCTTTCAGGATCTTCTTCAGATCGTTGTTTATCAGCGTCCTGGAGCGCTCGGTGATACTGGCAGCCGTCTGCTGCAAGCTCGACGACATGGTGTGCTGCCGTTGCCGCTGCAGTTGCCGTTGCAGTAGCAGTAGCAGTTGCGGTCGCGCGGGTCGAGGTCGTGGAGGGGGAATGGGCCGCTACCAGGAAGACGCTTTGCGAAGAGGCATTGGAGCCTGGAGAGAGCAGGGCCTCGCCAGCGGAGGTGACAGAGATCGGGAGTGAGAGCGGGCTAGTGAAGGCAAGATATCTGAAGTGGCAGCGGTCCGCCGTTCGTTGGTCGCAACTGCCCTGTACTCGGCGGCCACACACTGAGGCAACACCGCGTCGGCGCGAGATGGACGCAGGGCAGCAGAGCGGTCGGGCGTCTCAGTGCAACCCGCACAGTTTCGCTTCTATCGCAGTCAACGAGCTCGCGGCGGCTCTCGCGGCGAGCACATCTCCCCACGGCGTTTCGCAAAGTCAGCGTCACTAGCGAACGCGACCGAGGCACGGGCCTGAATGAATCGAATCGATAGCCCGACAAGCAAGAACCCCGGCCCGCTCGCCACCCTAAAAATTAATTCCGCTGCCTCCATACACAGTACAACTTTTCTGCCGTCCCCCTCCACCTTGGACGTTTACTAGCAACCTGGCTACAGTACCTGCGAGATTCTACCACGCCCACACGCCTCTCCACCCGCACACTACCACGAGCACACATCAAAATGGCCAAAAGCGCGCGAGCAAGCAGCAAAAAGGCGAACCGCACCAAGCTGCGCGCTCGAGTATTCGGCCCCGTCGAGAAAGCCCGCGCTGAGCGCCTGCACGCAAAGCTCCTCGAGACCATCCAGCAACCGAAGCCTGAGAAGACCGACATGGACACAGCCGAAGATGGTGCGCCGCCTAATTGTAATCACGAAAATGCTTTTATTGACTTTTCTGCAGCTACCACTTCGGAAGCGACCAAGGAGGATGACTTCCCCAAAGGTTCGTCTTTTCTAACTGCCTCCATACCGCCTTCTCTGTGCGAACCTAGCAGCACCAAGCTCGACCCTGCACAAGAGAGCCGTGAGCTCAGAAACCTGTGTTTCTACATGGGTCTCTGCTCCGACATTGTTGGCTTCAACGACGACGGGCAGCTCAAGTTTGCCTTTGACCCGCTTCCACCGCACTGGTTGAGTGAGAATCGAGGGCTAACTGTCACCTCATAGACATGGATGTCGATGGCACCGCTACTGCTTCCGCTGCGAAGAAGTCGAGCAAGAAGGACAAGGGCCAGTCCCGCAAACAGCTTCGTCGGAAGCCTCAGAATAAGATCTCGTTCCCATCTTCACGTGGGAAGGGCGCGCTGAAGCCCTACTCTGGCTCCCGTGTCGGCAAGCGCCGATCATGATTTACGACTTGACATTTACTGGCGCATATATTCTGGCATTTCACGGCGTTTTCATCTGTTACTGCCTCGGACCGGCACTACGTGTTTTGGGATGATACCATGTTTTGGAGGACAATTTGGCCTATAGAGAGACATCGAAATTCAAAATTTACCACATCTTCAACCTACAGTCTACCCTGTCATGTTTGTAACTATCTTTCTAAAAACAATTCTCTTTCCCGTTTCATCAGCCCGGATGTTGCCCTCCTGCTTGCAGTCACAATAGCATCGACGTCGACGACGAACATTGAAGACCTTGAGCACTGAACATCATACTGATTACTATCTTAAGAGGTCTTCAAGAAGCCTCACACTAATCTTAAAGTTTTATTTGATTTTTATACTTTCGACAACTCAAGGTACAAAGGAGTTCGTATTTACTGAGTTCTTGTCTCCACACAAAGGCATCCTCAGCCTTCACTCAACGACCGGCCGGTGGTGATGTCTGGCGTCATTGTTACTGCAAAAGAAATCGTTTTATGCGCTGCCAAACAAGTCTTGCCATCCAGCACTCATTGCGCGATTGCTACTAGATCCTACCGCCCGGGCCTGTCGAGCGCAGTACGCAAGATGACTGGAGAATTTGCTGTAGGTATGCTTTAAGGTGCGTGAGAGTATGTGAGTCGCACACCCTTCAGCCATCGAGGACGATTCTGTCTCATACAGTGTCTGACATGCAACATCTAAACGCCGATAATCCACAGAATGTGATCTGTTCTATGTGTAACAGTGCGGACCTGGCGCTAAATTATGAGGGAGTATTATACTCACGTAACTACCATCCCCCATCATAAGCGAGCCTCGGCTGCAACCTCCCTGTCCTGCAGATGTCCGATCTCCAGCATGCATCACTTCGTGGATCGCGAAACACTTTCGGCCACTGTCCTTATCTGACGATAGTCTGAATCGGCAGCATGGTCCTTCCCTCTCCCTTGACTGCACATTCTGCAGCTAACAGCTCACGCTGGCCCGTTCCGGAACACAGCCGCTTTCGCGCAGTAGTCTATACTAATCATCCTTGCTGGTATTCTGCTGTTTTGTAATCACACACTTTGAGCGCCAGAAGACTGCCGCCCTTTAAGGAAACATGATGGAGAGCCCCCGCGCCAGCTGGTCATCCTCGGCGCCAACTTGTGCGAAGTCACTGCCAGGCTCTTGAGAGTTAGGGCACCATGACCTCTGCTAGAGTGAGCTATCTACCACCTACAGTAAGCATTCTGCATACATCTTCCAGACCTCATTTGGTCTACTGATCTCCATCGTATAGCCTGTGATTCGCGAGAGTATCGATCCCAGAAGCCCTTGGAAACCGATGCCTTCCAAATTCCGCAACCTGATACCATCAGAGCGCTTTCCCGCAGAAAGGGATCGATATGTACTCTACGTCAACGTCGTCTGTCCTTGGGCTCACCGCGCTGTTATTGTCCGCGCATTGAAGGGTTTAGAAGACATAATACAACTAGTGGAGGTGGATGCAAGGGACCCGACTCATGGCTGGTACTTCTCTGGACATAGGGGACCAGAAAAAGACCCGGTAAACGGCTTCAGATGGTTGAAGGAGCTGTACTTGGAAGCAGATCCGCACTACAATGGGAGAATAACCATTCCTGTATTGTGGGATAAGTGGGAGGGTAAGGAGCCCAAGATATGTACTGCAAGAGCTGTAGATTGACATGCTTAGGAACGGTCGTAAACAACGAAAGTGCCGATATCATCCGCATCTTCTTCGAAGCTTTCGATCACCTCTTGCCTCCGAATTTGCGTGAGGCGAATAAGGGAGCTGCAGCATTTATTCCCCGCCACCTAAGGAGCGATATCGATCTGCTCAACTCTTGGGTGTACGATACAGTCAACAACGGCGTGTATAAAGTTGGGTTTGCAACTTCACAAACTGCATACAATGAGCATATTGTGAAGCTCTTCCAGTCGTTGGACCGTTTAGAGTACCATCTCTCACAACCTCAGCACTACCCTTACTTGTTTGGTCAATACATAACCGAAGCTGACATTCGCCTCTACACGACACTGATTCGATTTGACGTTGCATATTACACGCTCTTCAAATGCAATATGAAGATGATCCGCTATGAATACCCTCGCCTTCATGCATGGCTGAGACGTTTGTACTGGAGCGAGGGGCCGGAGACAGGCGGAGGCATATTCAGGAGCACTACCCATTTTGATGTCGTAAGTACTGGCCTGATAACGTTTTCAGACTTTCCGCTGATATATCAGATCAAACGAGGATATTCAACCGTTCTTGCTGGGAATGGTATTGTACCAGCTGGTCCTGTACCACCAATCATGCCATTGTAGCTGGTCTATCGTTCTTCCTGCTATGTCCGTACTGATTTTCTTTCTCGTGTCTCGGTTTAATCTCTTTGGGTATATATGGGTTTGCGGAAGGGGCTTTTTCACACTCGAGCGACGTCTCTTTCTGGCCAAAGTCTGTGTACCAGCCATCTCTATGCAAGTGCTCGTTCACGGAGTCATGAGACGGCAAACGCTGTGGCTTCGAAGTGTCTAAAAAATACTGCAAGTATTCCAACCTCAGCTGCTTGCTCACATCCATGTGTCGCTTTGCGAAACCGGCCTGTGCCCCTTGTGTCGTCTAGCTGCGGATCATAGCGGTCGATACCATTTACTAGAGTCCCTTGGAGTGGGAACAATGCCTAAGTACAATGCAGTGACCGTGGATATGGAGCGCGAGATGGGAGGAGAAACTGTTGATCGCTTGCTATACTTTATGTTGAAGGTGTCTGTGCAATCACTTTTATCAATTTTATCGTGACTGTGGTACGCCAGCCGCTCCCGCAGCCGCTGTGCTCACGGAAGATTTCGCGTGAGTGCTGTAATTAAACATTCAAATGGTCTTCTCGTACTTGACCCGTTCACTATGTGACCTTCCCATGAGACTCAGATGACCATATCCTGCAGATTATTTCTCCGCGCATTACAATTATTACAGCTATGTCCACAGTTAACGTATGATTTCGGTTCGCGGGGAACTAGGTAGAAGAACATGATGCGGATTGATTACACGAATTTCCTACTACCAAGAAAGAAAGTAATCCAATGGCTCGCGGAGGTATTCCGCGCTAGTTCTTCTTAATATCGACTAGGTAAAACCAAGAATATGCAGGTGGCCTTCCAAACTGCATCGGCCAAACCCGGCAATGATGAAAAATTCCACAGAGGTGATTCTGCATAGATTTTTGGTACGGTCACCCAGCTGGCCTGCTGTTGCTGCAGACAGAGAATATATTGCAAAAACATTGCCAAACCTTCATCAAACAACAGTATCGGGCTTGTGGTTTAGTGGTATAATACTCCCTTAGCATGTCTAGAGCATCTAGCACAGTGAATGGGAGTGGTCCAGGGTTCGATTCCCTGCAAGTCCAATTCTTCTTTTTTGCCTTTTTATGCTTCTTTTTTTCCATGGTGAACCGTGCAAGAAGGTTTGCGGACGAATAGCAGAGACACTTCAGGGCTGCAGGTTAAAGTCTTCACTATAGCTACATCAAGAAGCATACCGCAAGTCAATTCTTTCCCTTTTGCCCTTTTCCGCGTTCTTGATTCTTCGTCGAACGTGCGAACGAAACAGTGGAAGAGCAGGAACTCAATGCCATGGCCGCACCGAGGAAGCATACACCGAACACCTGAGCCTTTCCCCGAGCTCGTACTTTCTTTTGCCCATGTCTCCAATTCCTACATGATTCTTCCTGTTCAATTCTCAACGCACCTTGCCTCCACCAGACTACTCACGTTGATAACGAAGATAGCTTCTGATCACTTGTAGATTCACAGTATACGTTCATAAACGACGTTGGGTTGTGGAGTCCAGACGCGCTTGCCTTTGTGGGGAGACACAGATTGAGTAAATACGATCTAAAGTTATCTTCATTGTGACTGCAGTGGTAATCAAGATCTAAGCTTATGTGGTGGAAGACGAAATCGAAGTCTGCTATGTAGACTAAATCGCTAAATCGCAAAACAAAGAAAGTTTAGAATCAAAGCAGATGTTATCAGCGACTTGTGCAAGCCTGCCGTAACACGTCTTCTCTGCTCACCGACCTCCGCCACCAAAACTATACCCACTTCCCGCTTGACTTGTCTGTCTGTTCTCTCCACCAGCATCTCGTCTGTACTCTTCATACCCGCCTGGGCTTAGGGCATCCGCTCCAGCCTGAGTTCCCTCTCTGTAATCTGCATATGGCGGCACTGGCCTTCCATAGCCTGTTCTGTCCTCGCCCCAGCTCAACGGTCTGCCAGGATGTCTGCCTTCGTCCGTCTCCGTTGAGTTCAGTAGCGCGTACTCGTCCTCTTGCTGGTTGCCACCATGTTCTGTATGTCGATCGACAGAGTCTAGAGAGTCGCGGTGCCCGGTGTCGATATCGGCAGACCATGCGTTGTCCTTGGATGTTTCGCCGGAGATATGATGCGGATTGGGTGCCTTGGATTCGTAGGGGAGGACGCCCTCGCGGACGAATTTGAAAAGATAATAGGAGCTGACTGCGGTGGTGAGGCCGAAGAGTATACTGTTGAAGCCCATACAGTCAGTATTCATATTCATAGCAAGTACAAAGGCATGGGAAAGGTCGAAACGTACAATACAACAGCACCAATTCCCACGGTCGCTTTACTGACATTGCACTTACTCTCGCTCCCGTACAAGAACGTGGTACAGTTTTTGTCGCTGTCTGCGATCTTCTTCTGTTTTGCTCCTTCCACAATGCCATGGGTGTTCCAAACCGAAACTGCTATGAAGGCCGCAAACCAGAGTATAGTATACAGCGCGTCAACCGTTAGGAAGGCGTATGCGTTTGCGAAGCGTTCCGCGCGAGACCACATTGGCACCATGACCAAGTATATTATCGCTGGGATAGACAAGAAGCACTGTGGTGATTGTTAGCATTGTCTGCTCAAGCCTTTGGCCTTCAGCCCTTCATGATGAATGTGTTTGCTTCGAGAATCGTCTCCCAGAACGACAGCTATGAGATATGACCCACCAGAGCGAAGTAGAACTTCGTTGGCCCTCCCGTCGACCCGTCTTTGATCATTACAGCAATCGTGAGACATGCCGCTACGAAGACAAAGATGACCTGGAACACATGTGCCACGACCTTGCATTTCTGGATGTAAGACTGTGGTATCCGCATGTTTGCCCTCTCCTCTCCTTATCTACGTCTCAGTGTGCTCAGTATACGCGCTGGAGACGGACGCCAGAAGGGGTGAGGGTAAACACAGCTCAGCCCTACGCAGGTGTTCGCTCGGAGGACTCGGAGGTGCCGCAAGACGTCGATGAGCGAAACTACCACGCAGTCGAAGATGCGTGTGAATAGCAGAAGATGGGCGACCGCTCGCCCGCAAGATAGAGAAGCCTAATGAGTGTGGTGAAGGGGATGCGCAGCTAAGAGAGTACATGTCAGACATCTTTGAGTCTCAGCCTCAGTTGTGGATCCGCGTAGCTCGCGCAGCCTCGCGTCCCCGCGACCGGCAGGGTTTTGGCTTGACCCAGCAACGCCGACTCAACTTGGCCGCGCATGTTATTAATAGAGCGATTAAGCGAAAGGCTTTTTACTGCGTAGGTGGTAGAGCCTAAGCGGCGGGTGTCCCTGGATTACGGTTGCCGATTGCCGTGTCTGACATTTTGATCATCGCGTCGCCGCCATAACGCCTGCTTATACTATGTACACAGTAGGTACTGATGTTATATAGCAAAGTTGCACTGCGCCAGTACCATGTTCGACAATGGAAAACTCTATAATCACTGTACACGCTTTTCGTGTGCAGCGAGTCCGCCTTGCTAGTGATTCTGATTTGCGCTCACAGCCACCCGGGCTAGTCACTCCGCCGCAACGCACTCAGAAATCGCAGCTACATCGTTCTTGCTCACCGGCATCTTACGCAGTACTCAGCAGATCTCCAAAGTAGACAAGACTAGTCAATTCATTTGCTTTCCTAGCATCTCCCGTAATCCCACCACTTAGTCTATTGCTCAGTCTTATGATCCATCTCCGCAGTGTGGTAATCAGTACCGCTCTGTTTCACGCAGGCAGAAGCAACATTCGAAGTCCACATTCCAGCTCATTGGCCGATTTATTAGCTTCAGTCAAGCGTTAGCCAAAATTGGCATCATCCAGGATGCCCGTGGTTTACTCGTGATGAACCATGTGGAAAGCTGGCTCAGCCGCCATCGTGAGATACTCTTCAGTAACTGCTAAGTGACTGTTACGTTGTGTGACCTATGTCCAAGAATCGATTACCATCGCCCTCCTTAACCCAATTCAGTTAACAGAGGTACTGTCTTTTCCTTGAGAAGTTCTTCGAACGCAGCTTCTGTAGTGGAGGTCTGCAGTGCAGTAGAAGGCGTCATGTCGGTGATTGGAGCTTGACCCTCCCAAGTCTTTTGTAAGCCTTTTGGAAGGCAGGTGGTAGCGCGAAGCTGAAACGGAGGCACGCCTATCATACATCGATGTTAAAGATATCAGAGGGCGTTGTATCCGTTGATCGATTTGTTTGCATCCATTGATATTCAATGCATGCTCATCCAGTCCATTGCGGGAAATAACTATCTTGCATAGGCATTGCAGCAGGCTCGTTCTCATAATTGAAAGGGTCGCCCCAGAAGCCCTAACGCCATCAGTCAGTAGTTCACTGCCGTGGTAGCAAGTTACTCACAAAATCAAAATCTGGAATAATGCCGACGTTCTGTTCAACATCGCCCACAATGTTGTTTATATTGCTCAGATTGATGTCATCCCAACAAGGCGCGCCCTGATCTTGCATCGATTGCATGGGCTGTAGGAGCTCTGCTTGAGGCGGCATGTTTTGTTGTTGTGCTGGTAGGTTGTGAGGAACGTACTGCCCCGAAGACGTTGACAAGGCGTAGCTAGGTATCGTCCCTAGGACGGGGTAGACAGGGATATTGCCATTTGAAGGGTTGTCCATTCGAATCGATGAGGATACTGGTGCGGTAGGGCTAGCGAGTGTACTAGAGCTTTGCGACTGGCTCCTTGGAGACGCGTTGTGTTCAGCCACAGCCTTGTCGATCATGTTCTTGACAGCTTGCCAAGCTTTAGCTCCATTGTTTTCTCGGAGAATGCGTGCCATTTGGAGCGCACTCAATGCACGTTGTCGATCTGGAGCATCAAACAAGGGATTTCGAAGTTCTGAAAGAACATGCATGATGGCTTGGAAAGAAGCAATGGAACCTTTCAAGGTTAGCATTTGACGAATCGATAGAAGAAAAAGCGTACCAATGTGCCATTGGAATCGGGCCGCATGAACATCGGCAGCGGCTTGACGGGTGTTAGTTGACGGACGGCAACATATACTGAGTGTAGTACCCACCTCCGTTCAACGTCTCTATGCAATTCACAGACTTCTCGAATATCCTGCATAAAGTTAGCAGCTGTAATCTTTCATAATTGGAACAATGTTAAAGTCACTTACGATCTGCGTATGTCATTTGAAAAGACCACGTCGCGATAAGCCCGCGGCATGCGGAGCCAGAATAGCAAGTAACATCTCCACTCCAGAAGAGAAGCCAAACCCAACGTTAACCTCTGCATCGGCACTTCAGGATTCAGATATCGGAGATACTTTCTCTGGTTCTCCTCGTGGACCTCGTCTAGCATGACCTTTATCTGCTCATAGAGATTTTGGAGTTCCCGCGCAAAGTCTGGACGGGAGGCTCCATGAAGCCCGGAATCCAACATGCGCCGCTCCAAGCGATATGTGCTCTGGATTATTTTTCGTAACGCCCGCATCCCCATATATCTCACTAGTTGGAACGACATGGACGTGAACTTCTCTTCGTCGTAAGGTGCGGGACTAGGGCTCGCGCCATCGATAAGCTCCTCGTCATCAATGTTGCGCGGAAACAGTGTGGTATAGAAGTCTTCGGATATGCTCGGTTCCTGGCCCTTACATTCGGCTGCACGGTACTCCAGATGACCTAATTGATGCCACATGCGGCGACGTAACTCGATTGTGACAGCATCCATTGACCCAGTGGGAAACAAGGATGGGTCCCGATGAAGTCCTTGATTCAAGGCTATGCGAACGGCGATACCTAGGAGCACCCATGCTTTACCTAACCACACTGTGAGCTACCCAACCTCGAGGACTGTTTACAACTTACCCATGTCTTCTTCCTTGGTTATGCAAGTTAGCCATAACACAAATCCTTGAAATATTTCGAGACTGGATGTGGTCAGGTAGTTTTCCCTGGCAAGCGATATCTCAACACCGAGCTGGAAGCGGTCCAAAAGCCCGTCTTTACTCTCACCAAATTTGTTCTGTACCACCTTTGGGGGCAAAGAATTGATGGCAGAGAAGAAAATAGCAAAAGCTATTGGGTGGGCTTCGCGATTGTATGAGGAGAATTTCCGGAGTA